TTCCAAGCAACCCCCTAGGATGTTAAAGAAACAGGCTGAGAGGGGGGAGTTGTTGTTGTTGTTGTTTATGAGGTTTTAGGGAACTCTCTGGTCAATGGGATCTCAGCTCTAGTACCAGCACACTTATGTTGTTTGAATAGTTTTTCAGTTTATTATATGAATGTACAGATTGTGTTGTCAGACTTATAGTTAGAATATGGACTGATTATTACTTAGAGTATAGACTGATTATTACTCAGAGTATGTGGACTGATTTCCTATGTTGACAGTCTGCTCTGATGGGATTCAACATGACACCTCCTCTTTTTCTCCGCAGGCTCTGCACAGGCAGCCCTTCCCTCCTAGGAAGGCCCCATCTCCATCTCACATGCGGGACCCATCCCCTCTACCCACTCCCATGCCTGGCCCCAGGGGCCACAACTCGGATGGGACTCAAGGCAGGGACAGCGGCAGCGTGAGTGGCAGCTCCAGTGGTGGATCCAAAAAGCTGCGGTCGCGTACCCGGATCTCCCTGGAGGCTCTGGCCATCCTGCAGAGCTTCATCGGTGACGTGGGCCTCTACCCCGACCAGGAGGCTATCCACACCCTGTCGGCCCAGCTGGACCTGCCCAAGCACACCCTGGTCAAGTTCTTCCAGAACCAGCGCTACCACGTCAAGCACCACAACAGCACCACCCAGATGAGCGATGCAGGGGAGGGGGAGGCGTGGGAGGAGAGGGACGGTGAGGGGGTGGAAGGGACTGAGTACCGCGACGAGGAGCTGCTCTCTGGGTCGGAGGGTTCAGACGTGGCTGAGTCCAGCGAGGACGGGCGGGGTGGTTCCGAGGAGACATACAGAACAGAGGGAAGAGGAGGAGTGGAAGGAGAGGAGGAGAAGGAGGACCAGGACCAGGGCAAAGCCTCAGGCCCCCGGCCCACCTCCCTACCCCCCTATAGGTCCCCGAAGAGTCCCCCTGACTCTGGAGAGCACCATAGATAACCCCCTCGGACCACGGAGGAGGGAAGGACAGACAGACAAGCCCAGGACAGAGGGATGGAGGGAGGACGACACAGACAGAACAGTAATGAGAAAGAATGTGTCTGGTACGGAAGCCCATGAGGATGGCTTTTGGGTAGAGGAGAGCCCTACCACACCACAGTGGATGTGGGTACAGGTCAGGACCTATGGAGGTAGACAGGCAGGGGTGGTGAAAAGACAACAGAGTACCTCAGAATGAGAGAAGAGATGCACTCTGGGTAATGAAGTCATAGACAGGCTGCTGTTAGAACATGATTCATTGTAGTCGGAAAAAAACCTTCCAAAGTGTTTAGAAAATGAAAATGGTTTCATTTATTAAATGGGCCACAAGGATGATTACAATTAAGGCATAGTTATGTGTTTCAAGCACGTCCCTTCATCACAGAGTCTGTCGTTGTATTCTTAGAGCAGTGCCCTGAGATACTGTACAGTATGTGAACAGTTTTTTCTGATTGGTTATCCTATGAACGTTCCTATAATGTCTGGAAAATCCTTGCATTGGCTGTGTGTAATGCAGTCAGTCTCCCTCAACGTCGACAAATCTTTCCCATTTCACCATCCCACCAGCACTTAAATCAAAACCATATTTATTGTTCTTGTAATAATCTAAGTTTATTGTCGTCATTATGGCTGTTATTATTATTTTCTATTTGATATCGATGATGTGTTGCTTTCTGTGTGTGAGATACATTCACAAAGCATCTCATAGTAGGAGTGCTGATCTCAGATCAGTTTAGCCTTTTACATCATAGTGAATAAGATTACATGGACAGGGGGGACCTGATCCTAGATCAGCACTCTCAGACTTTTTTTGAATACGGGCCATTGTGAGGGAGAAGAACGCTTTCAAATGAAGTTGTTACTGAACTGAGTGTACGTCCCTAGATGTACTGTATGTTGATCGATGATCTGCTTACTGTTTCCAAAACAAACTGTGACAGTCAAATCCAACCAATAAATGTACTTCTGAAAACAACTGTTGCCAGGTGAAACCTAATGTTGAATCTCCTTTTGTAAACTGGCTAAAATCAACATCTGTTTGGTTAATGAGTAAGTGTGGGTGTGAGGGCTAGATTCATGACATTGCCCTCTGAGGTAAAGAAGGACAAACTGAAATGACAATCTTACAAATTAGATGGAAATCAGTTGCAATCTCAATATAATAAATATAATATTGACTTATCTGTGTTGGTAATTTAAGTTGACCTTGTTTCCAGTTATTTGACTAAAATCGTATTGGTTTTTGACTAAATAGGCTACAAGCTGTTCTATTTCAGCTGTTTGTTAAGGTCTTTGTACATGAAAAGGCCAAAATTCTTATACTAAAAACGTGGAAATCAATCAAACCACCATCATTAACACAATGGGAAAATCAAATGATATATTATTGAACTATTGAAATAGCGACCGAGAAAAACTAACTGGTACAGTTTAAGGCCAAGTGGAAAACAATACTGCAGGTCTGGTCAGGGATGGAATGTG